TTAGCATATAGCTCTATTATCGATGTGCCTAAGCTCAGTCTCACAGAGCAGCTGCCTGTAGACTCGTATCCCTCTTGATGACAACAACATAGACTGACAGACCAACTTAGGGCTTAAGAGGAGTTTAAAACCACCAGATGATACTAATACAAACGCTTACTTTCACACAGCAAGTGAAAGCACACACAATCACATTCAAGTGTCTATACAAGACTCATTACATGCAGCAACAGCATGTGTGGCAGAAAACACAAGGGAATGCGAGGGCTGCTTTAAACTAATTTCTAATAGTTTCTTATATTGTATTTAAAAACATGTGGACTCTCAGCGAAAATTTGTTTGGGAAAAACAAGCTGTTCAGTGTAAAGAAATTACAATAACTCAAGACAAACTATGCCTGGGAATGGCTTCAGTCTCCAGTGTCTTTCTGTTCTTTATTATAAAAGATATTTTCTCTTTCCTTTTGTACAATCTAATTCATTAAAACCAGACTTGCACTTCAAGAAAACATGCACACACTTAATTAAATTGAAAGTTCTCTTTAATCAAATTGTGCGCATCTGGTGGCAGAGACTCATTTTGTAACCCATGTGCTTCATGCACATTTTCTTATGTTATTTTGAGCCTCATAAAAAGCATTTTGTTTTGTTTGTGTTCACGGTGCTTAGTGTAGAAGCTTGTTATGTTTTTTACAATAGGGTTTGTAATTAACTTAGATGGTTTTAAAGTTTTTGTATTACCATATAAATTATTACAGATCACTGAGTGGCCAATTACCAATGGAAGACTATCATCAATTGGAGCGACATCTCATTACGTTTATTACATCATTAAAATAACACACAGTTAAACTGTATTACATTCTGTTTAATATATTGTGTCCAAAATGACTATTTATAATCTTCTTATAATTCCTTCTTCATCAAAACATCTAACTGCACAACAAAGATTAATTTATTTAAAACTAAATATTCACATGCACACATTATGTCGCAGTGTTGTCAAGGTTAAAGACATTGCCCCCCGACATCAGCTTCACTGTTCATGTATGAGACCCCACACAAGCAATTAAAATGTCACACACACACACACACACACACACACACACGCACACACACACACACACACAGTCACTGGGAGAGTTTGACCTCTGCACAGTCGCCACAGGGAAAAACAAGAGAGGGAGGGAGAGAGAGAGAAGGAGAAAGCATTGTAAACAATAATCAATTACTGATTCTTTTATACTGGAGGCAAATAGTCTTAATGAATGTTTTACAAAAGACTAATTAACCGTTTACAGAGTAATGAAAGCACAGGGGCCAAAAACAACATTTATTAAACTTTCACAAATTATTTTATTAATACTGTTAACTACATGATTCTATACACGATGACTTATCAATATGCTAATGATTAATTAATACTAATGAGCTTGGTGTATTGAGGGGGGCTTTTGAAGTAGACCTCACAGCTCACCAGGTCATGTATGAACGAGATCATTCTGAGGGACTCTTTGCAGCTGTTAATAAAGTCTTAAATGCTTTCTTTAAAGGGTTAGCATCCTCAGCTAACAGTCCACACGTCTCTTTGGTCCAGACTGAAATGTTATATCATATAACAGCAGATTAAGATAAGATTGGATGGATTGCCATGACATTGTGCACAGACATTCATGGTCCCCAGGTGACCCTGACTTTTCACCCAGCGCCACCAGCAGGTGAAACGTCTCGACAACTTTCGGATGCTTTGTCATGAAGTTTTTATTCAGATATAATTATGTTCCTCAGATGATGAAATCTAATGACTTTGGTGATCCTTTGACGTTTCCTCAAGTACCACCAGCAGGTTGACGTTTGTCCTCTTGAGTGAAAAGTCTCAACAACTTTTGGATGGATGGTGATGAAATTTGATTCACACATTCATGGTCCCCTTTTTGTAAATTGTAATAATTTTGGTGCTCCAAGACTTTTCTTGTCTAATATTTTTCTTTATGTTTAAATAGACCAAACCTGCAACACTAATCACATTCCCATTAGCCTCAACTGTAGTTTGTGTTTGGTATTAATTAGTAAATGTCAGCCTGCTAACATACTAAACTAATACGGTGAACACGGTAAGTATTACCTTGCATTGTTATTTAGAGTATGTTAGCATACTGACATTTGCATTTAGCTCAAAGTACTCCTGTACCTAAGTAAGCCTCATAGAGCCGCTATGGTCGGAGACTCTAATCTGTCTCTTAAGTCCTTCCCTGCATGAATATTAATGATGATTCAGAGTTTTTTGTGAAATGTTCAGTACAGAAATAAGAAAGCATCTTGACACAACTTTTTTTAAACTAGTTTTTATTTAGGAAGTGAAACAAAATGCCCAGTGTTGTCTTTGTGCTTTACATTGTTTCAAACCGCCACTGGAGGTCCCAAAAACCAAAAACCCCAGAGGAAGAACTCAAAACAAAGCAGGAAGCTCCAGAAAAATGAATCACCTTCATCATCATCATCATCATCATCATCACATCATCGTCATCACCACTGTCACTCTATACAGATCTGTAGAAATAATCGGACTCCAAAGTCACATCAGTGCTTATTTACAAGGCCTCTTGCCGCAAAATAGTCGGGTTTTCATTCGTTCTTAAAAAAAGGTGTGGTGAAGATGCTCTCACACAAAATATGTTGAAAAATGACACATGTAATTAAGATGTCTATTTTTACCACGTGTCGTTTTTAAAACATATTTTTAATGTGCTATTTAAGGACAACACAGCCTGTGTTATTTCAGCATCTTTGTTGTTGTTTGTTACCTTTGATTCATCATTGTAGAAAAAGGAGAAAGAGGTTGTTATTTCTACATACAAGGCATTGTCTACCTGATTCTAAACTCTTTCGTTGTGCTACTATCTTTGAACAAAAAAAAAAAAGTTGTAAGATATAATTCGTAAGAGGAAGTGCTTTTTATATAAGAATAGGTAAACTAGCTTGTGGCTATAGTAGGCTACAGTAGTTCATAGTAGAATCTAAGTGTTTGTCGATGCACTCTGGTGCTGAAATATTGACCATATGTCTTCCCTTCTTACCCAACACTCCTTATAATTACATTGGGGATCGCCACAACAATCTCACAACAGCCAGAGATGATAGAAAGAAAAACAATTGAACTGAAATCGTGGGGGGGTTTAAAGAGTGTTAGCTCTAGAGTCCTCACGTGGAATTTGTGAATTAATGTCTTACATAAAAGCCAGTGAGGGCGATGATCTTTTAACGGGATTCAAACTCAGGAGCACACTCACTGATTTTGACCAACACGTAGGAGGAAATTTCTTTCACTTCATCCCTGATTGAAACCTCAAGCTGGAACGTGCTCAAGGACTCCTGAGGGTCAAAGATCCCCACGTTCAGCACCACAGCTGTTGTAAAGTTGTGTTTCATTTATTTGAAACCGGGAACATACAAAATACCAAAACTCTCAATTGTTCTTGTTCTGGGTTTTTGTGTTTTCATGTTTCAGCACCAGAGGCCTACGGTAGTACCTTCTACTTTCTACAATATTTTAGAATAATAATACGAGGCAGGCAGTGCATAAACCATGTACAAAAAGACCCGTCCCAACCCAACCCAGAGCCCTCCACCTAAAGGAGTTGTGCCATCTGTGTGAATCCCTGGAAGCCCCGACAGCTCCTAATGCTTATACAGACATAATCGTCAACAAGATAATGATGCCAAGATAGAATTATAACTGGGAGGCAATTGTTTTGGATAACATCACATACTAAATCAGCAGAGGTTGGAAAACGGACTCTCTGCTCTCGTTAATTTGATCCGTTCAAAACACTTCAAAACAATCACAGAAGTCACAGGAGAAAGCCTCAAAGAATCACAGCAGTGTCGCAGTTCCTCTAAATGCAGAGCTCTTAACCCAACCCTCCATATTTAACACTAACTTGGTTTGCTAACTCCCTGAAATTTCATTTCTCATAACTACATAGAATAGTGGTACTTGAAAAAATCAAGATGTTACAAGCAGTTATGACGTCTCTTCAAAAATATCATGCATTATTGCTCTATTGGATATGAATGAAATATTGCCGAAGACAGAAATTTGCTTAATTTGCCTATTATCTAAGAGATGTTTGGCAAAATATCCCAAAGATTCATAAAATTGGCATAGATTCCATTATTAGGCTATTGTTATTTTTTGCATGCAGTAGTTTTTATAATTAAAGTGGCGGACAAAAGTAAAAAGGTATTCGGTAATTAGAAAGTGTCAAATGCTTTGGCATATTTGTAACAAAGGCAAAATATAAACAAAGTAAAGTGCAAAATCAATAAATCTACAAAAACATAAGAATAAATAAATAAATTAGGCAATAAATAGACACATAAAAAAAGACATAAAGCTGAATACTGTGTAGCCCACTGGCAACAAAAACACTATTTTACAACACTTTTGAGAAAGGTTTGACCTTTTTGGAGGAAAATCAGGACATTTTTAATGTCTGGATCCTCGTCTGACATTGACAAGTAAAAATAAATAGCATCAGATTTAAGTTGTAGTAAAACACTGTTTGTCAAATAATACCCTGGTGGCTCAGTGGGAGCAATGGAAGTCCAGTCTGTCTCATTTATTCCTTCTCACCTTCCACTGATTACTGTCAAGTAAAGCACAAATGCCAAAATAACTTTTTTTTTTAAACAAAAAGAAAAAAAAACAGTCCTTTTACTGTAAGACATTGGTTAAACAAAAAATGTTAATTCCCCATTACAAAGGTGTACTTTGCCTTGCCTGTCGTGTTATGGCAGGTTTGAACACCACATTTCCTTCACAGTTCAGTGTGTCAGTAGGCAAAGCATGTGACTAGCGTGAAGGAAAACGGAGAACCAATGTTGTGTGCTTTTCTTTGTTTTGATGCTTTACCTCCTCCTATAAGTTCTGCCCGAGGTCAGTTTCACCAAAAGCAGGATACCAGCTGTATCCTAAGATTACGAATGTTTGTTTTTAAAAAAGAAGGAGTAAATATGAAAGTTCATTGAATCTCTTTGCAAGAAAACTGACGAAGATGTGATTCATGCTTTACACTTGTGATATTGCTGTCACAGAAATAAGACGGAGAGATGGGAGAGGATTTGTGCTTCAGTGTCGTTTCGCCATGAGTTGAACACAAAAAAAAAGAGGGACGAGGATAGATACGGACATAAATAGATCTAGGTATCTTCAAAAATGATGAGCTAGATGTGCTGTGCTTTATTTATCTTCAGAGATACTCAAAACAGCCTCAGTAGGGGACATATCTTATCGAAACAGGTGACAATCTAAAACAAGCACTGAAAACTTTTCGTTCCACTTCCTGATGAGGAAAGAGGAGACAAGAGGAGGGAGGGTCTTGATAAAAATGGACACGTCCTCAATCTATTTTTGTCATTTGCCTCATGATCCTTGCAGAGAAAACACTCCTTTCTTGTAGTGCTCAGGAATACTGGTATTCTTGTTGGCGAAAGCAGGAAACATTGGGAGTGAGGCCGGCAAAATCTGATTTAAGTAAACGAAAAAAACCTCCAGTAAACCTGAATCCATCATTCGTCCAGCGAGCTCATAGGGGAGAAAGCCCCCTTGAAGCACGCCGACTCGTAGTGCTTGTTCAGGTAACTCTTGAGTGCAAACGTCTTGTCACACCGTTTACACTTGTAGTGCTTGAAGGCAGAGTGCGTCTGCATGTGAGCGCGCAGGTTTGACCTGTCGGCGAATGCTTTGCCACAGTGCGCACACCCGAACGGCTTCTCGCCCGTGTGCGAGCGCATGTGGCCCTGCAGCAGCCACGGCCGGCTGAACGCTTTGCCACACACGTCACACTTGTGCTTGAGGTCATGGGTCAGCAGGTGCATGGCCATCGCAGGCATGGAAACGTAGACTTTCCCACATGTGGGGCACTTCTTGGCCATCTTGCTGTCTATGCTCCTGTGCGTCTGCTTGTGCCGGCTCAGGTTGGAGGACGTGGCGTAGGTTTTGCCACACTCGCTGCAGGTGTGCCTCTGGGTGGTTCCTCTTGGGGTTGCCGCGGCTTTCCTCCGCGATCGCCCGTCCATGATGAAAAACGCATCCACAGTGTACCCTTCGCTCACGGCTGCGTCCCCGTTGATGTATCCACCGGCTGATGACGACACCTCAGAGCGCGGGCTGTCCGGCTGGTCTGAATCGCCGTGGATATCACCATGGATGCCGGAATAGGTGTCGTCAATTCGGCCATAGATGATTGACGGGTGGCTGGGGGAGGGTACTTTAGAGATGACAGATGAGACGCTTCCCACCACATCATCGTAAGGAGATGGACTAAGATAATCGCTGACGTAGCCTGAAAAGAGAGAAAGAGAGAGGAAGAGGTTAATCATTTGACCATGACAGGGGGATTGATTGGAAGTAGAAACTGATTGGTTTGAAAATCTTTACAAGTAAGCTGCATGAGTGCTACAAAAGTGGTACAGAAAGGGAAAATGCATTCCTTGATGGGATTTAACCTTTCTTTCCTTTGATATTTGAGGTCCATATACTCCACAATAAAAAACTAAAGCTGCTTTTTTTCACTATGAAGCCCAGAAGAATCACATTTTTCTTGCTCTGCACAAGATATTGCTAATGTTAGGTTGCCTCTGTATACCCAGGTGTGAGCCTCTAGATAAACCAAACCATGTTTTTGATTATAAGGTGTTCCAGGCCACAAGAGAGCCGGGCAGGCAAACAGGATGTGTGGATACTGAGTGTTAATAAAACAATTTATGGCTCACTATCCTTCCAAAATATAACAGTTTAGGTTACATAAAGTTTACAACTTAATAAATCATGTGTTGAAATTGTGTTGATTCCACTACTTTTTACAGCAAATAATCAAAAGAGCTTTGTATCATAACAGTAGCAGTAGCATAACATGAACAGAAGACAATAATTATTCAAACTAACACTCTTAAGTAATGCACTCTAAGTAATGTCAGTCTAACTATAAACCAAACTGCTGCAGTGAGTCATAAGGACAAAACTGCTTTGAGCTACAAACGTACTATACTATCATCGTCACTCCGGGGGCTTCCACTGCTACCAGTACAATTAAAAAGATTTCATATAATTGCAAAAACACACACCACAAATCAAACCCATTCACCACAAGTTCATTCATTATTCAGAGAGGTGCTTCACATGTTGTCTCCTGATAATTTTACTGATTACAGCCTGGCATCTCTGGTTTTAATAAATATTACCTGTACTGCCCAGGATCACTTTAACAACATGTGCATTAAGTTTTAAGATGAACCTTTGTTTTTCCCCCATTGGCATCCGTACGAGACAAAAGCGGCCACAGGAGACACAAGTCCATTCTTAAGATACACCCACGCGCTGAGAGGTTCGTCTTAAAACACAACCATTTTTTGGAGGTGATATAAAGCTGAGAAGAAGGAGAAGGAGAGAGTTGTGGTATTTATAGTGGCAGTAAAATGTTTTTATGTCTTTGCCAGCAAGGAGGAGACACTTTCCTCACAGTGGGAAATCTTTATTTTCCATAAGAGGGTTCAGTGAGCACACTTTCTCCTCTACAACTGCACCTTCCCTGACAGGTCTACAGCTCCACACAGTCACACCTCTGAGCTGTCAAAACGTCAAACTGTTGTACACAGAGCATCTCTATTACAGTGGCTGGGAGTCTAGTGCTTTGCTCAAGGGCAACCTGACACTGACTGCATTTAACTGCGTATACTGGCCACAACCTTTCAGTCTTCCTCTTCAGCTAAACAGTATTTCTGAGACTCACACATTCCCAAGCTACCTGCATATAACAATTATTTGTTGCTGTGTTATGATGTCAGCTGCTTCGTTATTTCTATTATTGTCTTCTACGCTCAACAGGCTGAACTCCAGCAGACACAAGGAGAGACTTGGTAGCTAATAGCCCACAGCCATGACTGTGGATCCATGCCGATCAATTGCTCTCCATTTCAATTAGCACTCTGTGAGCATTTAGACACAGGCAGCAGAGGAGATACTATTGCTGGTAATATAATTTCATGATGCAGTTCTGAGAAAAGCTCAGGAGCTGATCGATAATATGATGAGAACAAGAGACAGAGAGAGATAGAGGGGAGGGTGAGGAAAGAGAGAAGACGCATAGTGAGATGAGGGATGGCAGGAGAGAGAAAGAGAAAAAGAAAGGAGTTGTAGGAGAGTGAAAGCGGAGTTATGAGTAAATATGGTGTTTGTGGTTTGGTGGTTTTGGCGTTTACAGCTCTTGTGCTGATTTAACATTTTGGATTATATTAAGACGGAGCAATAGAGGAGGGCACAAAATAGAGAGGGGAGGCAAGGGAGGGGGTGTGAGAGAAAAAAATAATCATGAATCATGAATATTCAATCACCGCACTCTGGAACAAAGTACTGTGTTTGTGTGTGTGTGTGTGTGTGTGTGTGTGTGTGTGTGTGTGTGTGTGTGTGTGTGTGTGTGTGTGGTGTTTTATAGAGCTGAGTAAAAGCTTTGAAAGATGACCAAGTGTTCATTTTTAACCTGCATTAAGTTGACTAAGAACAACTCCAGTCGTGGAGATGTTGCAGAGCTTCATAATCACTCAAACCTGCAGCTTCCCAGTAGAACAACAGACTTGTGCTGGTGGACAGTAAACAGCCCCACTGGTGGGGTCTCTCCAGGGAACTTTTACAGCTGACGTTGCTTATTTATCCCTTCAAGGAATTTGCCCATTTTTGTTTTTCTGTGCTGAAGCCAGTGGTGGATCCTCTACTTAAGTAAAAGCAGAAATACCACAACATAGTATAAAAATACTCCTTTACAGGTAAAATAAGGACAAAAGTACAAGCAAAATGTACTTAAAGTACCAATAGTAAACACTCCTTTCAGAGTTGATTGATAATATATTGTATTATTAGATATTATTACTTAATACAATTTGTCAATTTGTGACCAATTTTAGGTATTTTATACATGACTGGTTAATTTAATTGTAAAGAACTGCATCATATTTCATACCCTGCTCATGTTTTGCATATAAAACCTGAATCTAACGAGTAATTAGTAACTAAAGCTGTCAAATAAATGTAATGTAATGGGGCCACAAGTCCTCTCTCACACGCAATGAAGTAACTGAAAATACTCAAGTGAAGTAAATTGCAATTATGTACAGCCCTCAAAGGTAGTACATAAGTACATAAGCTTCAGTGTGTAGGATTAATGAAAACATTATATTCCATTTCTGTCACTAGATCCTCCTAAATGTTACGCACTAGACATTTAAGTACCTACTTATATTAATTAACTAACATTCAATTAGTGTATAATCACCTGAAAATAGGAGTCATTGTGTTTTTTTCCATTTAGAAAAAAAAGTTTTTTTTTAAAAACCCCAAAAAAAACCCCCCCCGGAGGCCCCCTTTTTTTAAAAAAACCCCTGAATGGACAAACCAAACATTGGCTGTAGATAGGGGCACGTTTCGCAGCCACCATAGTTTCTCCTTCGCCTTTGGAAGGGGAGGGTGAAGCCATCTGAAACCACTAGATGCCGCTAATTCCTTCACACTGGTCCTTTAATTGCCATCGCAAATTACACCTCGCTTCATTTAGGATTAAATGTTGGATGGAAACTCTGACATACGCTGAAGATTTTGTTGACGTTTCTCCTGAGGGTGGCACTTAAAATTAAATGTCTTGTTTGCAAAACTGAAATTTTGACCTGAAGGGAAAAAACTGAAGTTTCCAAAATAGGATTAATCAATTTGAACACATGAGTGCGCTCAGTAAATTATGGCAATGTGCCCGATTTAGATATTTCTTGGACCAGATGAACCAGATGGAAAGGAATGGTTCACCAAAAACACTGGATTCATCCACATTGGAACCACTATGATCTATAATTTAATTTATACATTACTTACCACGACATAATGCTTCAGACCGGTATGTTGGACGGATGGAAGGACAGACTCTGTAACGACTGACTTAATGACCTGAGTGAGACTCCTGCTGACAATAATATGTGTAGTGAGAAAAATAGCTTCCAATATTCAGTGTGTGTGTGTGTGTGTGTGTGTGTGTGTGTGTGTGTGTGTGTGTGTGTACTTTTTGTTTAATCTGCTGTGAAGGTACTAAGGACCAGACTGAGTTGTGTATGTGACTGACAGGAGGTAACACAAACATAAAAACAAACTCCTTCCCTGCAGAAGGTTTTTCTATGATCCCTGCCAATTAAACATGACCGTCTCCACAGTATCCTCTTTTTCAAAAACTGCTTTTGTGAACCGTAATTTCTGTACGTCTCAACGTCTGCGTACTGTCTCTGTTTGTTTGTCTCCCTCCAACTGTCTCCGTCTCTGTCTCGCTGTGTCAACCCTGTATTCATTTCAAAGCACTTTAGCAGCATTAGGGCTGATAGCTGTTCTAAATGCTTATTAAAGATTAAAATACTCTGCCAAACCAAAGCCATCCCTCTTTCATGTGTCTTTGAAATACGGGGAATTAGAAAGAGAAAGAAAGACAGGGAGGGAGGCAACGAGAGACAGAAACAGGAAGAGAGAGAGAAAAGCTGCAAGCTACAATTTAATTTTTGATCCAAACCAGCAGTAACTGACACACACTTGTGTGCTTTGGACACTTGTAGGTCACTGACTGCTTCCTCTCTCTCTCTCTCTCTCTCTCTCTCTCTCTCTCTCTCTCTCTGTGTGTGTGTGTGTGTGTGTGTAATGCTGTGCACTCAGCTGTGCAAGCTGCCTGGGAAATGTGCCGAGTTGACAGAAACACAGCACTGTGTGTACATCCATGTGCATGTGTCCCTGTGAGTGTGTGTTGTGTGTGTGTGTGTGAGCAACAAGCTGCAGTTGCTTCAGTCAAACTCTTGTTATATTTATAACAAGGGATAGCAGCCTCAGTCTTTACATGCTTGCCGCACTGCTGCTGCTGCTGCTGCTGCTGCATGTTTCTCTGTTTTCTTCTGTCATCAGAACACCTGGGATCTCTTCGTCTCACATTTTGACCTTGGTACAATGTGAAAACCACCAGGCTTGCACTAACAGCCTTCTTCTGCTATGACAGACACAATTAGTCCTCTAGTTCTTTAAAGCTGCATTAATGACATGTTCACCACTAGGGGGCAGAAACAAGCTGACAGCCACGCAATCCTGTTAAATCATTGCCTTATAAAGGTCATATGGACCGTGTGTTACCTAAGAAATGCCTATTTACATATTTAGTAGACACATGGGAAGATAATCATCCAACTGGAGTCATGTTTTTTAGCTACCAAAGTCCAATATTCACTCTCCTTTTAGCTCTGTTTTGGTCTCTGTTTACTCCTGGAAAAATGTCTGTTCACTTTGTCTGATATTTGGTGCTATTATTGAGCGCTAACTTGCTGAAAAAACAGGGTTAATGGGAGCGGTGAGACTGACCAATTACAGTAGAAGTTCCATAAAACCAAAACAATGAGCTAAAAGAGGCTACAAAGCTTCATAAAGCTGCACTGGTGGGCAGTCGTTCTCTGTGGACTTGTGACTGCAAGCAACCACTTAAACATGGCAAAGATCTCAGTGTTAAATAGTAATGGAGCTTAAACAGAAACACAGTCCTAACCTTTAAGGCCAATAAGCTCCTGTTGGTTTCAGGCAACTCCTAACACCACTAGGAAACTTTTGAGAGTAAACACACGACTGTTGGTTGCTGTTCAGAAGTATTTTATCAAAACATGAAAAATTCCCACTGAACATCTGACCCAATATTGCCCATTCCCACTGACTCTTATTGTATTCTGCCTGCAGGATTATACAGTGCGTGGGAACCATTTAGCATCAATGTAGCTGTGCAATATTGTTGAAATCTTGAAGAGAGACTCACAGCTGCTGGAAACAACCTGATTTGAATAATTTACCGGGCAACAGAACAACAGAGAATCCCACTGCATGTGTGCTGGTGACATAATGTATTAACATAAGCATTTTTGCATGGTTTTCTGGAAAAGATCTCAGCTCTCTGGCTCCCTGTGGCTTATCAGCTGGCTTTTTCTGAAGAAACAAATGTTAACTTGTTAATTTCAGCCGCTATGTGGTTGCTGTACTGCATTATCTGAGCAACAGGGCAGTATACATAAGATATACGAGCTAAAAAGATGGAAAAACCAGGAGAAAATTGAATTTTAGGATGGTAAGAGTGTTGGAAAGCCAAAACGTAAATGCAAAATAAAAAACGCCCGGGGGTTCTCTTTATATGGTAAGTGGGAAATGTCTCATTTTTATTGATTGGGTTGGTTAAACCACTGAATCATCAAAAATCCCACCCTGAGGAGGCACCTTTGAGAAAGACCCCCTGCTCTGCCCTGACCTCTGACCTGGCTGTGGGGAAAGGGTCACACTTTTATTACAATACATTACTTTAAATAATCTCTTTTCACGGCACTGAGCAAGACTCTCAGTAGGTCGTGTCTCACGTCCTGCCATCACTCCGCTGTGTGTATCTGCAGTAAAACTGTTTCATGAGGCATAAATGCAATAAAAAGAAAGATTTTCACTGCCTGTGATTGGTATATTTTTGGGTTGTGACCGGAGTTTGACCCTGTAATTCCTTTTTCCTCCTCCTTCTGAAACAGTCATGACTAATGCTTTGAATCAGGGGATGAAGAAATTCCCTGTGTGTGTGTGTGTGTGTGTGTGTGTGTGTGTGTGTGTGACTAACCTTTGTCATGATGATGAAATCGCAGACTGAGCTCTTCTCTTCTGCTGTGACTGTAGGAGCTCTCCAACTCTGCGGCCGAAAAATCGTCCAGTTTCACTTTCTTTACTAAGAAAGAGCGAGGCATGATGGGACGGTGGTTGCTCCTATACACTCAAACAACAATAAAAAAGAAAACACTCTCTCTCTCTGTCTTCCAGCTCAGGTTAAACTCGACCCACAAAAACCTATAGGTGTAAACTCTTAAGTTTAGGTTTTAGCTGTATTTTAACTCCCTGGGTTCAGCTCCCTCCTATTAAACAGCCTCGAAAGTGGAGAGGAGACATGGCTTTTAAAGATCAGACCAGCCAGCTGCTCCTCATGTGTGCTTTTCTGTTTTAATAGTTATGTTTTTTTGCTCAGTGAGTTTTCGGTCCTGGGCTAAAAAAATAAATAAATAAAAATTAAAATTGAAAAATAAATAAAATAGCTTGGTTTCCTCCAACAACTCTCCACCGGAAGACCTGTGGAGCTCTGAAAGGTCAAAAAAAAAAAAAAAGAAAAAGTTAAATAAACCAATTCCTGTATTAGATATTGCTCCGACTACAGTTTTTCTTCTTTGTGCGTTTTTATTCCGTTGCTTCAAAAAAGAAAAAAAAAACAACCGTTGGTTTTTTTTTTCTTCTTCACGTTCCAAAACCGTTGGTCTTCAGCACGCGGACAGCTCCCAGGACAGAGCTTGCGCGTGCCCCCTCTCGCTCTCTCCCTCGCGCTTTCAGGACCCCGGACAGTTTCCCCTCTGCGCGAGCCTCCTGGTTCGGTTCTCCTCCGCGTGCCACAGCCCAACCGCCGCTGTCCGGTTCAGAAACAAGAGGAGGGAAAAAAAAGAGGAGAAGAAGAAGAAGAAGTTTCCGCTGGTTTTTAAAATAGCTCAGCTACGAGTGAGCGCGCACACTCCCGGTGGACATTCCCATGCAGGTGAGTCAACTCAGTCGAAAACAGACCGTTAGATGTCGTTAGATGCCGTTAGATGTTCCCGGTGGATCCTCAGAAAGAACCGGAGAGGTGACGTGTTTTATTGGGGTTAACGGTCAGCGAGAAGCGGAGGTTGAAAAGGGTTCAAACCGACGACCGTTGATTCCAGTCAGCCAACAAGGTCCTCACAGTTCCTTAAAAATAACCGTTTAAAAACTGCAGTTGGAACATCTCCCCGTCGGTTAACTCTCTCTTTCACTATCTCCTCCTCTCTTCTCCTCCACTCTCCTCTCTCTCTCTCTCTCTCTCTCTCTCTCTCTCTCTCTTTTCTCCTCTCCTCGGCGCGTGCGGAGCTGCGGCTCTTACTGATGCACGAGATCAGCTGTTGTGGCTTTATAGGGGCCGCGCGAGAGAGAGAGAGAGAGAGAGAGAGAGAGAGAGAGAGAGAGAGAGAGAGAGTGCTTAATTTTATTCATCAGAAGAAGAAGGGGAAAAAAAGAGCATCATGTCTTGTGGGACCTGCAGCGGCGCGCGGTGATGGCCGGGCAGGAATTTAATGAGCTAGTTTTAAGTGCGCGCTCACGCTGATTTTTATGGCAATTAAATGAAAAGGCATGTTGGGTTTTTTGGGGTCTTTTTGGATCCCTGTAGGTATGATGCGTGTGGTAGGGGAATCTCCAGACACCTCAGGTTCTGATTGTGGGCTACGATACGATTATAAAACCATTATCGATGCATCTGGATACTTTATTTCTATATATATATATATATTCTGTTTTCTCACTGTGGGACTACTTGTTCCTTTTACTGTTGTATATGTAATGATCCATACTTAATATAACTAGATCAATTTACTTGTATTATGTTTAGTAGCGACAAATGGAAAGATAAATGGACCGACTTATATAGTGCCTCTGCTCTCTTCTGACAACTCAAAGCACTTCACGCTACCTGCCACCCATTCACACACTGATGGCAGAGGCCACACAAACAGAAACTAATTCATCCACACACACAGGTACAGCATCACGAGCAAATTGGGGTTTAGTATCTTGCTCAAGGATACCTCAACATGCAGCAGGACGGGGCTGGGGATCGAACCACAAACCTTCTGAACCTGCTCTACCTCCTGAGCCACAGCCGCCCTTTGAACTGGCAGAAATGTGTCAACTGGAGGGTTACATTTGCCAACATAGCTAAATTAACAATAAATTAAGATTGTATCCATCTGCGGTTGCTCATGCTCAGCCATCTTCACCCAAACTCAGAATCGAACCGTTAGCCTAGCCTAGAACGTAAACACAACGTACATGTTCCTGTCCTGCACCATTTCGTTACAGGCGTTAATAATGAGATTTACTGAGAATTTAGTTTTAAATGTATTAAAATTATTGACTTTTCTGCATCTGAGAATTTAATTTTTCTTCCACCCCTACCACATGGCGAATGATGAATTAGACAATAAAAAGGTACATCACGAAATAATCAGCAAAAACGTTGGCAGAGCCTGTGTGACCTGTTGGCTGGAATTTACCAAACATACTATTTATAAGCTCATTAGTTTAGTTTGGTATTTCTATAGGCTAAATCATTTTCAGGACAACTTACAGTGAATATAACTGTAAATAGCCTGAATTAAAATATCTATACCCCAAATTACATGCAATCAATCATTAACACACATACTCTGATGCAAACAAACGTGAATTATTGGGATTTTCTGACAGAATCTTTGTTAAAAGAGCTATTTTTAAAGGTTTTAAAACAAATACTAGCATATAGTTATACAAAGTAAAGTTACCAACCAGATTCATTTCAAGATTCCTGAAAAAGTGACAATCCACCTTAGTTACTTTTTAATTTGAACAATGTGTTTATATCGTATTTATTAATGTGAATGAAATGAGACAGACTTAACTTTTGGTTAAAAAGGGAAAAAAAATGAAATCCACCCTCCCGCCTAGCGATTGTAGCTTTGCTCAGGGGCTGAGAACCATTAAACCAACCACTGAAAACCAACTTCTTGTGCCACTGAACACAGGTCAATGCTTTACACTGCAGTCAACCAATTGAGCTCTTCTTATGCAAATCAGCTCTCCTCCCGGGCCAATCAGACCTCCTGTGCCTAAAATCCAGACTCAGCATTAGCCAATGAGTTTAGTTAATGTAACTGAGGTGAAGGTGTTTGTTTTTTTTTACTGAATGGTATTTCACATAGAGAGAGAGAGAGAGAGAGAGAGAGAGAGAGAGAGAGACACAATGTCAGAGCCTCACAGTGTATGTATGTGTGTCAGAGGCAAGAGACATGCTGCAGAGTGATGATGCACTGTTTTGTTGTTTACACACTCAAACAAACAGACTTCTCCCTCCAGCCAGCACACAGCGACACACACACACACACACAAACACACACACACTCATGCAAAAAGCCCTACCCCCATTCTTACACACACAGGCAGGCAGGATGATGGTGTGTGTGTGTGATGTAATTCAGTGACGTGTGCGTTTATATAAGTTCCTATTCACTGAGGCCCTTGGAGTTAACCTATTTTTATAGTTCATTGATAAATGTTTGAGAGAGACAGAGAGATTCTGTCTATGAGTGTGTGTCTTTTCTTAAAACGGTCTGTGTGTGTGTGTGTGTGTAGTTAAGTGCATTGCAGACTTGCTTTTTAACTTATCAGTCTGTCTGGTAGGTCCTCACTTAACCATCGCTGCTTTATTTATGTGTTGATGCACTGTACTGACGTTAATATTAGATATAGATGCTAACAGTAGGCTGTGTGGTTCAACGTGGAAGTCTGAGGCCCTAAAAAGTCTCCAGAAGTAAACAGTTTCCTGAATCAATACATCACATTTCTACTGGACTTTGATTTTTAGTTAAACCTAACCTATTTTAGACCCTGTTTTTCCCTGTTTAAGGTGAAAGGGGTTATGATAATCAAGCTTTGCATCCTCATGCCGATTCAGCTAATTGTTTTTGTTTTCTGCCCTACATATTAACTCCGTTTCAAAATATGATGCTCTCGTCATCCCACAAGTGCCATTTCTGGACGCGCAGGGCTCCACAGTCAAGTTAGCCACAATAATCCAGTTACACTTTGAAAATAAAGCTGTGTTTTTCCTTGAGGCCCTGTCAGCCAGTGTCAGGCATGTCCTGTCGGTAAGAACATCAGATCAGAAAACCCTGTGTCTGTGTTCTGGAGGGACAAATGACGTAGTTTGACTTGTTGGAAAAGGCAGACAGAAAAAGTAAACAAGTGACTGGTGTAGATAGTTCACCAGAGCTAAGAAGGGCAGTCAGTATTTGACTAACATTGTCAAGAAATATGACCTCAATGGTAATGTGATTGTTTAGCTACAGGTTAAAGCCATAATATTATGGGTAAATTGGATGAAATTAGACATTAGACTCACACATTTCAATTGATATTTTCAAATTTTTCCATAAAAAAACCCCTATGTGTTCACAATACTTTTGAAGATGCTATAATAACATAAAGATCTTCAGATTGGGGTCTGAACCCTAATAATATAGGCCTGTGTGTTCTTTGTTTATGTGAGATTGTTTAGGACCCTTACTGCCCCCTTAGGGTCGTTTTCTGCCACAGCAGGCAGCTGTTTCTGAAATCCCACGGTACTCTACCTGCTCAGCACCAAACAGCGACACAATTAGTGACTATAGCTGGACATAGTGGAGCATTTAATAAGAGCCAGATATTTCCATCAGGATTTGGAGGAGACCAAACACAGAGCTAAAATATCAGACTCACATTAATCACATGGACATAAGCATGAATGATATAATATAATATAATATAATATAATAGTTTGCTAAGAAGTTCAACTATATCAACTTCTATCAAGTGATATTCACAACTTGTTTCTGCTGCCCCCAAGTGGCCAAAAAATACAGAATGTGTAATTGATCTAAAATTAGATCCATAACAGTATTGAAGAACAGTATATCTGTAGTCTCAACTTAATGCAATGCCGAGTACTTGTTGAGCACAATGAACAGACTCTCATGAAAACCTTTTCACCTCCTTTTATAATATTATTATTTAGTTTCTAATGATATTGAAAGGTATCCGTCAGTGGGAGGTTGAGTGCAATTTTCTCAACTATTGTTTTTCTGTGCCAATTGGTGACACACCAGGAGGTACCAATTCTATCTGGTCCATTTCTATGATGGTGAAATTGTCCACTTCTCGTTATTTTTCCTGCAAGCCTGCAAGTGCAGCTACACTGCTGAGCTCAGCAAAATATATCTTGTGTGTGTGTGTGTGTGTGTGTGTGTGTGTGTGTGTGTGTGTGTGCTGAGGCTGTGGGGACATGTGGAGACTGGAGGCTCATTAGCATAATAATAGACTCGGATGCATGTAGACAGGCAGGCGGTGTGCGAGCATGTGTGTGTGTGTGTGTATGTGTGTGAGTCCTGTCAGGAAACACAATCGAAGGGTCCTTGTTGACTTTTCATTCCTCTGTCTTTTAAAGAGCTATTTAAATGACAGGGGTTTAAATAAAACTCCATTCAAAAAGAAGGGTTTTACATATAAAGCAATATCCAGATGAAAGGGTTTGTAAACAAAAACTGACAGAGAGAGATACAGAGCAGGAGGGAGGAGAGAAAACAGGAAGGGGGTAAAGACAGACATAAAAACAAAGAGAGGGAGCGAAAACAGGGAAAAATAAAGAGACAAACCACTTATAGAGGACAAATGGAAGGTCAAACAGAGTATTGACTGTAAGCAGAGAGAGAGAGGCAGCTCACAGTAACATAACTGTCACAGTGGATGGATAAAGGCAGTGATGGATGACTCTGACTTTGACTTCACCAATTTCCTATTTTAGTTTGTTGGGAAAAAAAAACAACTGCCTTTAAATGAGAAAAAAAACTCCTTTTTATTCTAATTATTCATCTACTTACAATACTTAATATTGAGGCAGTTCATGCTGATGATGGTTTACGGTGGAACTGTTAAGATCGACATCAAGTGTCTGATTAAGCTGCTTAAATTCTCCTCCCACAACCACCCATATGAGCGTTTTCTGATCTCACGCCCCAATTGTTGGACAGCATTATTTGCCTGTGCCTCCTAAAACCATAAACCGTAAGTTACCATCACAAAGAAGATCCATTTGACCCATTTCCTGATCTTCTGTGGTAGGTTTTGGTTAAGTTTAACCACAAAAACTACCTGTGAGAGGTTAGAGAAAGATCATAATTGTGGTTAAAAAGACGGAAAGAAATAAAACACTGACTTCTTTGAGGAAGCAGAAGGCAATTGAACTGTCTCATATCAAAGTCACCACCTTTGTTGACCCAACCATCCTGATCTCCTCCCTACAGC